AAGCTAAGAAGCATGGACAAGGTGGCGTGGTGTTGCGTTGCGGATTATATCACCAAGCCATAAGAAAGCTAAGCAGCATGGACAAGGTGGGGTGGCGTGGCGTGATGTTGCGGACACCATGACGACGACAACAAAAAATCTAAAGTCGGACGCACTTCAAACATTTGAGGAATATGTGTCTATCATTGCTAGACAAAAATTTTTAAAAAAAAATTACAAATTTGAATAATCCAATGATAAAAGAAAAACATTGTATATGTATATCTATTGATGTAGGACAGGGCTGGATTTTGAAAACAAAGGTTATTTGACAGCCTAAACAGTGAGTATTTTAAGGTTTTAATGGTTAAATTGAAGGCTAATAGGTAGAGAAAGGGATTAGAGTTGATTTGAGGGTGATTGGATAAAGTTTTAAGGTTGAAAAGTGCACTCTTAGAGGGTTGTGAATAGTAACTCGAGAATAGTAACTAGGGTATGAGGGCAAAGAAGAACAAAAAGAAGAAGATATGTCTAAGAATCACTCCTAGAATCCCTTACGTATCACACCTAGGGTTCAATTCATCACAATCTATAAAGAAGCTTTAAAAGTTCTGAAAATTCTCTAAAATATCAACTATATTAAATTATAAACATTACATAACTTTATATAGAATTAGAAGACTTCCTAAAAAGCTTCAAAAGCTCAAAAAATTCTCTAAAATATCAATTATATTAAATTATAAACATTACATAGCTTTATATAGAATTAGAAGACTTTCTAAACCAATCAGAACAAAAGAGGGAAATTAATACAATATCTTTGACTTCCAAAATCAATTTACCCATGGGCAACCCATATAGCCTATGTCAGCAAATATGAAAATTACCAAAATACTCCTAACCTAAAAATCCTATAAAATATAAATTAATCATAAAATAAGACTCTAATAATATTAGAAACATGAGTGAGTGAGAAAACAAATTCCCATTTTCAGCACCAAGTAGCAAATTGTAAAATAATAGACATCTGAAAGTAAAAAACATATGAAACGAAAAATTAACAGATTGAAAAAACTGAAACCTGAGTGAGTGAGTGAGAAAATAGAGAAGAAAGATCAATGAGTGAGAAACCAATCTTCCTGGTGATCATGATGATGATGAAGAAAACCAGAGACTTCACTGAAGTCCTCACAGAGGTGAGAATCTTCATCTTTGATCCTCAAGATTTGGCTATGCACGTAAACAACATTCTTCGGAGTCCACTGCCCAAACTTCGCTACCGACCTTGGCGATTCAATCTCGTCCGATGATCCAACACTTTGTTGATCCGTCTTAATCTCCATACCACATACCTTCGGCTTCGATTTTGCATACTGTCTTCGATCAAATTCTCGACTTCAATGATGGTGGCGGCAACGAGATCGTTGTTTGAGATCTAATCGTCATTTAAGAAGCCCTCTTTCCAGGTTCTGAAATCATTACCTCAAGAGAGAGAAAACGAGAGAAAATAAAAAGACCTTGGCACTGACACACCACGCGCCGCCATCCTTACAGCGCTACTGCGTAGACGATCTCTCCGTTCATTGATTTCATTTTCTTCGCATTGCATATACAACATATATTTCTCTCTCTCCCTATAACTCTGATTTTTCCATGCGTCTATTATTTTAAAAAAAAAAAAAAAGTAACTCTCCTCTGTTAACACCTCTCTGCTCTCTTTTTCTATTCCATTATCTCTTCTCTAATATGCAAATCTGGTTTCACTTTTTCTGCTACTGCAACAAATCAATATTTGCACATATATACAAATATATATATATATATATATAAATTATACAATCAAGGAGATAAAGTGAAAGCAGCAAGGTAAAATCCCCAAAGCCAAAATTCTTTTATTGAAGGCACAATCTTGAATTTATTTTTTATTTTTTATTTTTTTTTGTTGATTTTGGTCTTAAAGAAATTCTCATAGTCCAGATTGAAACACCTTCAACCTTTTTCGCCGTTTATTGCCAGCGATTTATTTGGTTCAACAGGTTTTTACCTAGAAAGAATGTAGATGAGAGAAGAAGCGAGAGAGGAGAAGAACTCCAACATAGTAGGAGGAGAAGGAGAGGGGTGGGGTGGGGTCGCCGGGAGGAAGGAGAGTGCGGCAGATATGGAGAAGAACTTCGATGGCTGGTGTCTTCTGTCTCTCTTCGTTTCTCTTTTCACACTTTTTTTTTTTTTTTAATTTCTCCCATTAAAACGACGTCGTTTTGGTGAGGGATTGATCTCAACCCTTGATTCCATTAATGGGACAAGTGTCGCGCCCTCATAAATTCACTGTAGGATCACTAGAGGATCACTCTAGAGGATCTTAACGTCTGTCATCCTCTCTCTCTCTCTCTCTCTCCTCTTTTTCCTCTTTTTCTCCTCCTCTTCTTGAATGACGATTAGATCTCATATTAGATCTTAAACATCGATTTCGCCGCTGCTAACCATCATCGGAGTCGAGAATTTGATCGGAGTCTGTATGCAAAACTGAAGCCGAATGTGTGCGGTATGGAGATCGAGACGGATCAACAGAGTGTTGGATCATCGAACGAGATTGAATCGCCAAGGTCAGTGGCGAAGTTTGGGCAATAGACTTCGAAGAATGTTGTTTACGTGCATAGCCAGATCTTGAGGATCAAAGATGAAGATTCTCACCTCAGTGAGGACTTCAGTGAAGTCTCTGGTTTTCTTCATCATCATCATGATCACCAGGAAGATTGGTTTCTCACTCATTGATCTTTCTTCTCTGTGTTCTCACTCACTCAAGTTTCAGTCTTTTCAATCTGCTAATTTTTCGTTTCATATATTTTTTACTTTCAGATGTCTATTATTTTACAATTTGCTACTTGGTGCTGAAAATGGGAATCTGTATTTTTTTTTCCTCTCAGATTGGTCTTTGAATGATTGAACAATTTTGATGAAGATTATTAAGATTGAATTTTTCAGTTCGAAGTTTTCAACAGATAGAGACAAATTAAACACTTAAATGGCTGAAAATGTAATGCCCCCGAATACATAATTTTTCAAGGTATCCTATCTCTTTATTTATTTTTTTAATTTAATATTTTTTTCCAATCTTATTATTATCTACAAGTAATAAACTACTAATCAATAAATATAAAAAATAAACAAATAAATTGAACCTATAACAAATAAATTTAAAATTTTGATTTATCTTCAATTATTTTTCTAAGTTTCATTTTTTAATTTTTTTTTTTTAGGAACAATCCAAATAGTTTTGTTATAAAGATCATGAAAAAAATTAAATGTTTATTTTTAATTTTAATATATTTTGGTGTCCTCCTTATTTCCTATAATTTTTTTAATTTTTTATTTGCTTAACCAAATTTAAAATTATATTCGTACATAATTTCTGAAGATATCCTATATCTTCTTTTTATTTATTTATTTTTTAATTTAAATATTTTTGTAATCTTTTTATTATCTACAAATAAACAGCTAATCGATAAATATAAAAAATAAACAAATAAATTGAACATTTTCAGCTATAACAAACAAATTTAAATTTTTCTGTTACTCATACATAATCTTATAGGTATCCTAGCTTTGTTCTGTTGTTAATTTTAAAATGGGTGAAAAGAAATAGTAATTAACCCTAGGTTAGAAAATTTAAAAAATAAAAATAAAATAGCTTCAATTAAATAACTCTACATTAATCCACCACTTGGAAACAAATAAATAAAGAGTTTAGAGAAGGAGAATTGATTCATCAAAATTGAGAAATAAAATAAAAAAGTAAAATAAAAAGAAATTGAAAATAAAAATAATAGACTATATATATATATATATAAGAAATTGCAATTCAAATACATGGAATACTTGGAAATCTAGAATCAGTACCATCATATTAGAATATTTATTAATATTAAAAGATTAAAGATGGAATAGGAAGAAGAAACAATAACCTTTGCCACCAGAAGCGCCAATAGCAATGCGTTCACCATGTTTGAAAAGCTTATTATCCACAATAGCACTATGGATCTCATCTTCAAACACTGCATAGAAACATTCCCAGCAAATCTTTACAAACAAAAATTTTACTCCCACATACACAAACAGAAATTTCACTTCCACCAATACACAAAATAAGAAGTTTGTGAAACAATAAAAGGAGAGTGAACCTATAAGTTTGAGTTTCAAAATTCAAAACTGCGCGTTTAATTTGCTCACTCAAAAAAATCAATGCTTGAATTTTTTTATTTTTAAATGCTCTACCAACCAATGTTAGACCCATTTTCTCTCTCTAAAAAGTTGAAGACCCATCACTTTCATTTTTTGAAATTGTACAGCAGTTTAAGAGACAAACGTGGGAAAGTAGAATGTGGAAGTGATTGATTATAATTGGTTTGTTGAGTCCCTATCTAAATGCCACATGGCAAAAGTTTCAAGAAACTAAGTTAAAGGCTCACTTTATATAATAGTATAGATGAAAGATATACAAAAGTGTTCACATGCAATATATATTTAATCTCCTAAAAGGGTGTATCTATACCATGTGCAACAATAACAAGTAAAGAAATAACTGCAAAGCATATGCCCAAAGGCTACAACTTCCAAAGCTTAAGCTCGGTTACACAAAAAGTTGGCAAAACCAAACATAATAAGCACTTGCTTGCCAAAGATACACAAAAGAAGAGCCTCTTGCCCTTTTCAAAACAATCCACACCTTCAACTAGACGGGATCATCATATCCTTTCCTGCACAAATCCAATAGGGGCAAGCACAAAGCCTAACAAAGATATCTTAACGAAGTATATATATATTTTAAGCAGTCTCATATATGTGAATGCAATGTCATGCCATGTTCAAATATCAAAGTTTTCCGTTTCTTTTGAAAATACATGCAATGTCCGGTTCAAATGTTCATTTTCTTCATGAATTCAAAATTTAGACAATGAAGTGGTAAATACGACTCAGGTAAACAAGACACATTAAATTCTAAAATAAAATATTATTTTTTTCTTGTAATACACCCTAATCACTTATGTCTATTTTTCATATTCAAATCTTTTCATCTTCTTCTCCAAATTTCAATTATTTGTTTTCATCTTCTTTCTCATTCAAAAACTTTAATCCACCTCATCAAAATTCACCATTATCACTCCTCAAGGACTGAATCATCCTGGAAAGCACAAACTTTGAGACAGTACTTAAAGATAATACATTTGTTTATCCAAATAAATAAATTTTGAATAGTGTATAAACTGCTTAAAAAGAACCGAAAACCACAAAGTTTAAACTGTTATTACAACTACATATTAAAATAATTATTGACGAATCAACAATTCAATGTCGCAGTTTTGACTTGTTCCGAACCATCCACCATTACAAAGATTTTGCAGAAAATTTGTCCCATTTAAAATAGATTCGTTCGGTTCAGTTTGGCCTCTACCATATGCCTTCCATGGAAGACTTGATGAAATTCATAACATTAAACCTTCATTTATTATTTTTTTTCCTATCATTGACAAATTTTAATTTTATCTTGAGGTAATTTGTGAAAAAAATAGTGTGTATTGAAAGCAAACTATGATTCTAAATAATTTGATAGAGAGTACTAAGAAATTGAACGTACTGAATAATTTATTGGGTGCAAATAGAATCTCCCGGTAATTATCTCAAATTTGTTTTCTCATACCTTTTAAAGCATGTTGGGCCTAAAGGAACAACAGCAACCCTCATATTTCAATTAAAAGATGGGTAAAAGTCCAACCTTGAACTTGGCCCAACCCAATCCAACTTTGAAGTGCTGAGGATAGCCCTAATTACCCAACCAATGCATACAAAAAAGCCCTAGTCAATGTCTGCACCTATGACTAGTATATGTACAAGCACTGGACAGTTTAACCCTCATAGACCCGTTTCAAATCCCAGACAGGGCAGAACAAGGGCAGAGGATCAGCAGATGAAAAGAGTGACCACCATACACCAGTTATCTTTAGCGAACTATTAACATATTTTAATCAATTTTTTTTCTTTACCAATACATCTAATTGAATCTCTAAAATGTGAAGAACAAAAATTAAAACATTAAAAACAAGTTTATTGAAAATCAAATAACACTAAATAACAGCCAAATAACAAATTTAAAAAAATAAAACTAAACAAACCCTAATCAAGTACTGCTGAGATAAAAACATTATCCTTATTCTAAAACCCTAATCAAGTAAAAATGAATTTGCCTGAAAATGGGAGAGAAAGCACAATGAAGAAACTTAATTCAACAGTAACATTACTGACTTATTGAAGGTAGTTTGTACAAAGATCTTATGAAATACTCTTCAAAAAAGTTTATTGAAAATCAAATACTGCTAAAATAACAGCCAAATAACAAACCCTAATCAAGTACTGCTGAGACAAAAACATTATCCTTATTCTGAAACCCTAATCAAGTAAAAATGAATTTGCATGAAAATGGGAGAGAAAGCACAATGAAGAAACTTAATTCAACAGTAACATTACAGACTTATTGAAGGTAGTTTGTACAAAGATCTTATGAAATACTCTTCAGCTCAGGTCTCCATGTATATCAGCATGATTGTTCTCAGGAAAACAAATGTTTGTAGTGATCATCATAAGAGATACCAAGATCTTGAAAGTCTACTTAATAATAAAGAGAACAACCAAAGACTATCGTATCCAAAAACCCAAAATCATATGAAAACATATTGATAAACTTTAATAAAACCATGAAGATTCAATGAGGAAATTTTTGAATTTCTTAACTTTACTAAAACTTATTAGCAAACAAGCAGAGGGTTAGTTCGAAAATTTTAAAACAATCAAAATGATGCATTAAAAGATCTTTCTCAAGCCTCTTCAGTTCAGGTCTCCATAAATTTTCAGCATGAAATTTCTCAGCAGAACGAAAGTTTCTTTTCATCATCATCAGAAGCACAAGCAATTAATCAACAGACCAAAAAGCATTAAAAAACAAAAAAGTCATGCAATTAGATTCTCAACATTAAACAAAAATATTCACAAAAATTGTCAGCTAAAATTTAAAAAACCAATGAAAATCCATCAACAACTTCAACAAATCTTATTGCTAAAAATTGGTAAGGAATTAAACCAAAATCAAGGTTTGAAGTAGTGTTTGGTTCATTAGAAGTGAAATAAAATGATCATCCCACCAAAATATCAGTTCTCACATTTGGTTAACTAAAATATCATGAAAAATACATTATAAATCAAATTATCATTGATCATTTCACAGGATACTAAGAAATGAGCATTGCACTTTCATTCCAATGAACCAAACATAGTATAAATGTCAAAAGGAGATTTCCAAATAAAATGAAAAAAGAATAAACTAATTACAAATTCATGAACAATTGTGCCCAGGACACAGTTCTTAATGCACTAGCAAGTTATCATTTTGCAAGCAGTTTATTTTATAACAACCCCAAGAATGAGATCCAAATTTCAAATTTCTGTTATCAAATTAAAACTTAAAGGCATACAATACATATCCACATAAATAAAATCAAATCATGAATCACTATATGTTTAAATATGCGATGGTAACATTAACAATAACCTTACCATAGAAAAAAAATAAATAAATATAAAATATATTTAGCATTTATATATAGAAAATTGTCTTTTCAGTTCAAGTCTCCATAATATATTCGTATGGAATTTCTTGTTGTTCAAATTGTGAAATTAATTAAATAGATTTATGAAGAAATCAAAATTATATACCAAAACATATACTGATAATTACAACTAAATTTCAACAGAAATACCAATAAAATGATAAAGAAACCAAACCGAAGCCTGCACGGTAGCAGTTTCCTTAAAATAGATTTCGCCGCCTCACGGGTCGAGTGCTTGAGGAATCCACCAGCATATTTTTTTTTTTTTGGTAAATTACAAATACACCCTTGAGATTTGTTTAAGATACATATTACTCCCTGTGGTTTGAAACATTACAAATACCCCTTGTTAGAATTTTTTATTTTATAGAATTAATTAAAAAAATAAAATTCATAATTGCCCTCCCATACGATAATAAATTACCTGAATTATTAATTGAAACATATTTCTAATATCATTAAAAATTGTTAATTGACTTGATAATTTATTAATAAAATTGGTGATTTGTTATTAAATTATAAACCTTAAGGGGTAAAATATAATTTTTAAAACCACAGAAAGCGATTTGTATTTTAATAAAACCTTACGAGTGTATTTGTAATTTACTCCTTTTTTTTTTTTCTTTTCTTTTTTTTTTTTGTTACAGGGGATGTTAAAGCCCCCAAGAACTACAAAGAAAAAAAAAGGAGAGGAGCTAATCCCCTAAACATCCTTGGCTAACAGAGGCTGGATGACAGATGGAAGGTCTTACAGAACAAGCCTTGAGGCAGCCTGATGTATAGCATTTTTGATGGCACTGCCAGTCCCTTGACATGAGATCCCTAATGTTTTTGACAAATATTAAAATTGGGATCCAATTTATCCATTACCCCAATAGCTTTGATAGCTTCCAATGAGTCCGTTTCTACTAGAAGTCTATAACTTTTCGAGGCCAATCCATAAGGCCCACAATTCAACCACAACAATAGTGGCACAAGCAATGAAGTGTTTGAAGCCTAGTACCCACTCACCAACATCTGTTCGAACGATACCCCCAGTACCAGCAATGTTTCCATGGCCTCGAACTGAATGAACCATCCATATTAAGTTTGACTCAATAAAGAGGAGGATGGCACAAGTGAGCTACCTGTGTATTCAGGCCACCATTCTTTCTTTACCCGTGGACTTATTTACTTATATGTCTTGAACTAAGTTTTTTTTGAAGGATGAATTACACTAATAATATCTATAGTTTAGAATTTGTATCACTTTAGTCCCTAACTTTTTAATTGTGACATATTTAATTCTGAATTTTGAATCTTGTTCCAAATAAGGACAATTAAAGATATCATTAGATTTTTCAAGGGTAAAATCATCAATTTGATAAAATATAAACTAATTTGACAAAAATAAATGTCAAACAAATATTTTTGAATTTTTAAAAATTATTTCTACCCACTAAAAATAAAATTATGTAAAATTGATAAATCTTTTAGACATTTATTTTTTTTTACCAAATTAATTTTTATTATGTGTTTGGATGATGATCATGTAAAATTAATTTTAAAAAATTAATCATGTAATTTTTATTAATTTTTATCAATTTTACATAATTTTATCATTGGTGGATAAAAATATTTTTTAAAAGATTAAAAATATTTTTTTGACATTTATTTTTGTCAAATTAGTTTATATTTTATTAAATTGACTATTTTGCCCTTGAAATTAAACAATGGTATCTTTAATTGTCTTTATTTGGTACAAGATTCAAAATTCAGGATCAAATGTGTCACAATTGAAAAGTCAGGGATCAAAGTGACACAAGTCTCAAACTATAAGAACTATTTGTGTAATTTGTCCTTTTTTTTAATTATATATATATAGTTGTTTATTGTTATGCTATTGAAATTTTTTTCAGACTTTTAGATGTGTTTTGTGTTTGTGGAAAGATTATTTGATAATGCTAGGGGAAATTTATTTTGAGACATTTTAGTTTTTGTTTTATGATTGATTTATTTTTAGTTTATTTGTGTTAGTTTTTTGTTTTTTTTTAATTGAAATATGATGGGGAAAGTACAAGTAATTGAAATGTATTTTTTTTTTAATAAAAAATTATAGGGATAAATTTATTACTAAAAGTTAGATTCTATTTGTTTCGACGTAAAATATTTTACTAAAAAAATATTTTTCTTATCAATTGATTTTACACAAAAAAAAATGTTTTTGTTTTTATTTTTCGACGGTCGGTTGATTCTTGAAACAAAAACATTTTATTACTTAAAAGATAAATTTTGATTCAATAAACTATCATTTATGATTTTTTTAGTAAGCTAAGATATTTATTTGAAAAAACTAAATGTATTGAAAATGTAGTGGGTGAGAATCAATTTTGTAAAAATTAACTTAGGAAATTTTTAAAGGTAAGTCATTTTTGAAAAAATAATGCAAAAATATTTTTCTTAAAAATTATTTTACTTGTTTTTTTGTTCAACCAAACAACGAAAAATGAGTAAAATATTTTTGACAAAACTATTTTACTTCAAAACAAACAGAACCTTAGAGAAAAACTTTTTAGTAAGTAACTCCGATCCACAAGATCTGCTCGTAATTGCTCCAAAAGAATTTCACTTAATTAAAAAAATAATTAATAATAATCATAATAAATAAAACAAAATATGGAGCTTCGGATCAGATGTTTTCATTAATATTACCTTCCAATTTGTGGTGTCATTTTAACAGCTTTTTTTGTCAAAACTCTCACTACTCACTTGTATTAGGAAAAATGACAAGTAATTTTAATGAAAAAAGTCCGTGATTTAATTTTTTTGTCAATTTAAAGGATACAAAAATATTATAAATTAAATTAACGGACAACTTTGTCCTTCATTAAAGAACCAATTTAACTATTATCTGTATCCGTGTCTCACTATATTCTACAACTCTTTCTCCCTCTCTCTTGCTTGCTCAAAACTTCACCATCTCTTTCACTCATCAATCATATCTCATTGCCTCCACTGTTTGTCGGCTTCGCTCATTGTCACCACCATTCATCACCATCTTAGATCTACCGCTAGTGAATACCGTCTTCATCATTTGCCAACACCACAGATCGCCTCCACTATCAATCGTTGTCTCAAATCTACCACCAGTGACCACAATCCTCATCTTCAACCTCCACCATCTTAGATCCAATATTGACGAACTCAAATCTAAGACTGATGACTTCAGATTTGTTACAAATGGCCACCAGAGTTTGTCCATTCAGTCGCTGTAGTGAACAAGAAAATTTTATTGTCAACAGAGTAAATTTTACTCTAGCAATATTGTTTACTTAATGTTTTGATAATTTTTTTGTGTAATATTTCTAATAGTAATGGTAAAATCACAGTAAGTGTGGTAGTTGTTAATATTGTGAAAATTTATAGTAAGTGTGGTAGTTGTTGATATTGTGAAAATTTATTGTTTAAATATTAAATTGAGACAGTAAAATTTTACTATCATACATAGAGTAAAATTTTACTACCCATAAAATAATAAATTTTGAATAGATCTTTTTTTCCCAAATGGTGGTGATAGTATGGTAGTGGTGGTAATTGTCATTGAAAGCTAGAGATTCATGTCACAAAGTGTTCGTTAAAAAAATATTTATCAATGATCGAAGGTTAGAAAGCAATCATCGAAAATGAAAGATCGATGGTTAGAAAGCAATCATCAAAAATGACCGGCGACAGACGGAGATAGTGGCCAGTAGCTAGTGGGGCAAGGTGGTGGTAGTCTGAGATAGTGGGAGAAAAGGCTAGTAAAACTTGAAGTATTTTTGTCATGTGTTAATTATATTTGTCCTTAATGAATGAAAACCTTTTAATTTGTTCTTTTTGCAAGAAAAGAACAAAGACTGAGGGAACCTTCCACCAAACATTCCTTATTTTAAAACAGCACAAAAAACTTGCCTGATGAATCAAAAAAATTCCCTCTTGTTACATTTCAAATTTGTGAGAGCATTTGAATTATTATTTTTTGATCACTAAAGAAAGGATAGAAACAATAGTGTTTCAAATAATGTTCAAAAAACATATGCTGTGTCTGCTCAAGCAAATATTTCCCTTGTATTACATTTTAATGGTGCAACATTATTGTGCCTAGGCATGTTCTGATATTGTACCATAAATAGCCCAAAGCCAGTAACTTCCTCTTTTTTTTTCAAAAAAAAAAGGTCCAAAACCATGCTGGCAAAGTTCTGCTTACAATCAAAAAACTTCACTGGCATAAAATCTTTGCTATAATCAAGCTCCAGGTCTATGCTACCAACAGGTATACAACTTCTATTCACTCAAAATACCATACCGAATTTGTAGAAATCATCTTTCATAAATATTCAATATTGAGTAATTACACGTTGTGCAAACTTTCCTTATTGATATGATACCTAACCTATCATATTATTCAAGCGACTATTGTTGAAGTTTCAAAATCTCAATCATTACATGACACTTCAGTAATAATAAAGTGTAAAAAATTGTCCCATTTGTATAACATTTTCCTTCAATATTTGCTAAACTTGAAAAAGATCAATTTAAAACAATTCCTTGCAAGTCCCTCCAATTCAATGGCCAAATTCATCGAGATTCAGTAAAAAAAAAAAAAATGCAATTCAACTTGTGATACATTCTTACCATAAACTTCAAGAAGACAGACATTTAACCGATCTCAATGGGTTAACTGTGAGAAATGTTAAAAGGGAGTTGGCTTTTCAAATACACAGTTTCCTTTTCATACTAAAATATGTGCAGAGCAAAATCATAGAGGAAATACAAATTCCGATACAAGTTGGCATGACGACATTGACTGCATGTGTTTTGGCTTTTGGTGTGACAAATACAGTGTGCCAATAATGATTGCAATCAAGGACATGAAACCAAAAACATGTGTCGAGTGTATAAACACAAAACCTTTTGTATTATCCCACCGAGTGCAAGTATTCGAAGCTTACCATTTTTTCCTAATCCAACGAAAAAGCTCCATTGCAATACCTGAATAAGTAACAAAACAAGTTGACAAATATGCTTTATCAGGATGTGTGTAACTCCAAAGTACATCCAGAACCATGAAGGAAACGACAAATTCAAATTTTGGGAATAAACTGCTGATGGCAATCAAGAACAAGTCGCAGAACATGAGAGAGAGAGAGAGAGAGAGAGATGTGTTTAATTCAAATTTTCAGCAATAATAGGGAATTCAATAAATAATTCAAGAACCCTCTAATACTACAACCAAAAAAGAATATGGCTAGTATCCAGTGCAATCCAATTTTAAAAGAATCTGAACACATTCACTCAGTGAAGAAAAGCTAGGAATTCCAGTAATTGCTTCCTAGAATGGAAAAGCCCTTTGCTTCAACACTACTATCTTTTCCCATTCTATGTCCGAAACACTAGCCACTAGTTTTTCTTTTGTTCTTGGTAATAAAACCTACCAGGCATCTTTCCAACTCCATGATCTTTGCCTCTGTTAATGTTTCTTCATTGACAAGTGCGATGTATACCCTACTGTGTTTCAAGTCCACATGCAATCTCTATCTCTACACACATACAAAGACATATCCTCCTGCTTCCATCATGCTTGGTTTTAATGTTTTACCATTTACACTCTATCCACGCCATGACAAAGGTCACATGTTTTACCATCTACCCATAATTATATCAAACCAACAACTCTGCTTGTATATTATTAAAGGCAATTAGCATTCTCCAATTATTTTAATCATGGTAAAATGGAAGCAGCAATCATTCATTGTAACTTTTTTGGTGTGCCATCCAATCAATTAGGTTGATTGCTATCTTTTATTCTGTGTCAATAAGAAGATACTAAACCAACACAGTTTTCCTCCAGTTGATCTGATCATCCATACTGTCCAAGCAAGAAAATCGGTGTCTTCAATACTCACATAACAGTGCTTCTGTGGCCACTTCATTCTGTCACTATCAACCAGTCGCCAGTCTAATTGTTAAAATGAAATATGTTCAAAAAAAGTCAAACTTTTAAAATTATAATGGTATAAAAAAAAATTCAACAATCTTCATGCATTTCTCACTTCTTTTCTTTCTTTTCTTTTCTTTTTTTAAATGAGTGGTTCAGTTTTTCAGATTTCTTCCTTCGACAATAATTATTTCTCATTAAGAACATCGGCAGTTTCCAAAAAAAAACAAAAACACGGAACAAAAAGGCTGAAGTGGTTACTTCAGAAAATAGGTCAGTATTAGTATATGCATATGACTAAACGCAGATATATAATAAATTTTTTCAGCACTCCAACATAAGGTTTACTTGATAAGAACTGGTCAAACATTTATCAATTTTTTCCTGTTTACAAGAAGATTTTTTTTTTTCCCTCAACACCTGGAACTAATGCACAACCAACTCTTTTTTTTATCATTGTGGAAGTGATTTAATTAAATTAAGATTTACTGTTAGTTGTTTCTTTTCCTGTTTTTCCCCTATTCCTTGTGTGGTGTGCATCTTTGCATAAACTCAGGTTGAAACAAAAAACTCTTAAGCCTTAGTACAAAGTCAGTGACTCAACATAACAAAGGTTGTTAAGCTAGTTTTAGACAAATTGCTTAATTCTGTTCCACTAATGAGATTCATAATAAACAAGTCAAACAGTCTAGGATCTGTTTTGGCATTTCATAGTTTTCCACTTCTGCGATGCAATCAAATCATAACAATTGCTTCGGCATTTTAACAAGCTGAAGGATGCTCCCTTTAACTTCAAAAGAGAACCAAAAGTTGTGGATGTCAAAAAGCATAGCAGAGAAATTATATCACCAAGCCATAAGAAAGCTAAGCAGCATGGACAAGGTGGGGTGGCGTGGCGTGATGTTGCGGACACCATGACGACGACAACAAAAAATCTAAAGTCGGACGCACTTCAAACATTTGAGGAATATGTGTCTATCATTGCTAGACAAAAATTTTTAAAAAAAAATTACAAATTTGAATAATCCAATGATAAAAGCAAAACATTGTATATGTATATCTATTGATGTAGGACAGGGCTGGATTTTGAAAACAAAGGCTATTTGACAGCCTAAACAGTGAGTATTTTAAGGTTTTAATGGTTAAATTGAAGGCTAATAGGTAGAGAAAGGGATTAGGGTTGATTTGAGGGTGATTGGATAAAGTTTTAAGGTTGAAAAGTGCACTCTTAGAGGGTTGTGAATAGTAACTCGAGAATAGTAACTAGGGTATGAGGGCAAAGAAGAACAAAAAGAAGAAGATATGTCTAAGAATTACTCCTAGAATCCCTCACGCATCACACCTAGGATTCGATTCATCACAATTTATAAAGAAGCTTCAAAAGCTCAAAAAATTCTCTAAAATATCAATTATATTAAGTTATAAACATTACATAGCTTTATATAGAATTAGAAGACTTTCTAAACCAATCAGAACAAAATAGGGAAATTAATACAATATCTTTGACTTCCAAAATCAATTTACCCATGGGCAACCCATATAGCCTATGTCAGCAAATATGAAAATTACCAAAATACTCCTAACCTAAAAATCCTATAAAATATAAATTAATCATAAAATAAGACTCTAATAATATTAGAAACATGAGTGAGTGAGAAAACAGATTCCCATTTTCAGCACCAAGTAGCAAATTGTAAAATAATAGACATCTGAAAGTAAAAAATATATGAAACGAAAAATTAACAGATTGAAAAAACTGAAACCTGAGTGAGTGAGAAAACAGAGAAGAAAGATCAATGAGTGAGAAACCAATCTTCCTGGTGATCATGATGATGATGAAGAAAACCAGAGACTTCACTGAAGTCCTCACTGAGGTGAGAATCTTCATCTTTGATCCTCAAGATTTGGCTATGCACGTAAACAACATTCTTCGGAGTCCACTGCCCAAACTTCGCTACCGACCTTGGCGATTCAATCTCGTCCGATGATCCAACACTTTGTTGATCCGTCTTAATCTCCATACCACATACCTTCGGCTTCGATTTTGCATACAGTCTTCGATCAAATTCTCGACTTCAATGATGGTGGCGACAGCGAGATCAATGTTTGAGATCTAATTGTCATTTAAGAAGCCCTCTTTCCAGGTTCTGAAATCATTACCTCAAGAGAGAGAAAACGAGAGAAAATAAAAAGACCTTGGCACTGACACACCACGCGCCGCCATCCTTACAGCGCTACTGCGTCGACAATCTCTCCGTTCATTGATTTCATTTTCTTCGCATTGCATATACAACATATATTTCTCTCTCTCCCTATAACTCTAATTTTTCCATGCGTCTATTATTTAAAAAAAAAAAAATCTCGGTAACTCTCCAAAAAAAAAAAAAAAACTCAGTAACTCTCTTCCGTTAACGCCTCTCTGCTCTTTTTTTCTATTCCATTATCTCTTCTCTAATATGCAAATCTGGTTTCACTTTTTCTGCTACTGCAACAAATCAATATTTGCACATATATACAAATATATATATATATACATATAAATTATACAATCAAGGAGATAAAGTGAAAGCAGCAAGGTAAAATCCCCAAAGCCAAAATTCTTTTATTGAAGGCACAATCTTGAATTTTTTTTTTATTTTTTATTTTTTTTTGTTGATTTTGGTCTTAAAGAAATTCTCATTGTCCAGATTGAAACACCTTCAACCTTTTTCGCCGTTTATTGCCAGCGATTTATTTGGTTCAACAGGTTTTTACCTAGAAAGAATGTAGATGAGAGAAGAAGCGAGAGAGGAGAAGAACTCCAACATAGAAGAAGGAGAAGGAGAGGGGTGGGGTGGGGTCGCTGGGAGAAAGGAGAGTGCGGCGGATATGGAGAAGAACTTCGATGGCTGGTGTCTTCTGTCTCTCTTCGTTTCTCTTTTCACGCTCTTTTTTTTTTTTTTTTTTTCCCATTAAAACGACGTCGTTTTGGTGAGGGATTGATCTCAACCCTTGATTCCATTAATGGGACAAGTGTCGCGCCCTCATAAATTCACTGTAGGATCACTAGAGGATCACTCTAGAGGATCTTAACGCCTGTCATCCTCCTTCTCTCTCTCTCCCCTCTTTTTCCTCTTTTTCTCCTCATCTTCTCTCTCTTATATCACCACTAACGAAACACCTCTGACACCACCGTCCTCTCCCTCTCTCTCCCTTTCTCTCTTTCTTCATCTTTTCTCTAGATCGATAGGAGAGATCGCCAACGCAGTAGTCGCGTGGTGTGTCAATACTAGGGTCTCTTTCTTTTCTCTCGTTTTATCTCTCTTGAGGTAACGATTTCAGAACCTGAAAGGAGGCTTCTTGAATGACGATTAGATCTCATATTAGATCTTAAACATCGATTTCGCTGTCGCTACCATCATCGGAGTCGAGAATTTGATCGGAGTCTGTATGCAAAACTGAAGCCGAAGGTGTGCGGTATGGAGATCGAGACGGATCAACAGAGTGTTGGATCATCGAACGAGATTGAATCGCCAAGGTCGGTGGCGAAGTTTGGGCAATAGACTTCGAAGAATGTTGTTTACGTGCATAGCCAGATCTTGAGGATCAAAGATGAAGATTCTCACCTCCGTGAGGACTTCGGTGCGGTCTCTGGTTCTGTTCATCATCATCACGTGGAAGATTGGTTTCTCACTCATCGATCTTTCTCCTCTGTTTTCTCACTCACTTAGGTTTGATTCAGTCTTTTCAATCTGTTAATTTTTCGTTTCATATATTTATTACTTTCAGATGTCTATTATTTTAAAATTTGCTGCTTGGTGCTGAAAATGAGGATTTGTAATTTTTTTTCCTCAGATTGGTCTTTGAATGAGTGAACAATTTTGATGAAGATTATTAAGATCGAAGTTTTCAACAGATAGAGACAAATCAAACACTTAAATGGCTGAAAATGTAACGCCCTAAATAAAAGACATAAATTAAACATGATGATTTCCAACCGATACTCAATTTCCACTTATCAGTTTCCCTCAAATAGCATTTCATTTCGTACTAGCTATAATGGGTGTGCAATTCAAAAAAAATTATAATATAAGAATAATGGTTTCTCTTTAATTATTCAATCCGAATAATATTGTGATAAACATTATAAAAAAAATTAAATAATTGTTTTTAATTTTAATATCGTTTGGTATCCTCTTTATTATCTATCAATATTTTTTATTTTTTTATTTGTTTAACTAAATTTAAAATTATATTCGTACATAATTTTTCAAGGTATCCTATCTCTTTATTTATTTTTTTAATTTAATATTTTTTTCCAATCTTATTATTATCTACAAACAATAAACTACTAATCAATAAATATAAAAAATAAACAAATAAATTGAACCTTATCAGCTATAACAAATAAATTTAAAATTTTGATTTATCTTCAATTATTTTTCTAAGTTTCATTTTTTATTTTTTATTTTTTTTTTAGGAACAATCCAAATAGTTTTGTTATAATGATCATGAAAAAAATTAAATGTTTATTTTTAATTTTAATATATTTTGGTATCCTCCTTATTACCTATAATTTTTTTAATTTTTTATTTGCTTAACCAAATTTAAAATTATATTCGTACATAATTTCTCAAGATGTCCTATATCTTTCATTCTTTTTATTTAAATATTTTTGGAATCTTTTTATTATCTACAAATAAACTGCTAATCAATAAATATAAAAAATAAACAAATAAATTGAACTTTATCAGCTATAACAAACAAATTAAAAATTTTCTATTACTCATACATAATCTTATAGGTATTCTATCTCTTTTCCATTATTAATTTTAAAATTGGTGAAAAGAAATAGTAATTAACCCTAGGTTAGAAAATTTAAAAAATAAAAATAAAATAGCTTCAATTAAATAACTCTACATTAATCCACCAGTTCGAAACAAATAAATAAAGAGTTTAGAGAAGGAGAATTGATTCATCACAATTGATATATATATATATATATATATCATAATAAAGAAATAAAATAAAAAAGTAAAATAAAAAAAATTGAAATTAAAAATAATAGACAATATTATATATAAAAGAAATTGCAATTCAAATACATGAAATACTTGGAAATCTAGAATCAGTACCATCATATTAGAATATTTATTAATATTAAAAGATTAAAGATGGAATAGGAAGAAGAAACAATAACCTTCGCCACCAGAAGCGCCAATAGCAATGCGTTCACCATGTTTGAAAAGCTTATTATCCACAATTGCACTGTGGATCTCATCTTCAAACACTGCATAGAAACATTCCCAGCAAATCTTTACAAACAAAAATTTTACTCCCACATACACAAACAGAAATTTCACTTCCACCAATACACAAAATAAGAAGTTTGTGAAACAATAAAAGGAGAGTGAACCTATAAGTTTGAGTTTCAAAATTCAAAACTGCGCCTTTAATTTGCTCACTCAAAAAAATCAATGCTTGAATTTTTTTATTTTTAAATGCTCTACCAACCAATGTCAGACCCATTTTCGCTCTCTAAAAAGTTGAAGACCCATCACTTTTATTTTTTGAAATTGTACAGCAGTTTAAGAGACAAAGGTGGGAAAGTAGAATGTGGAAGTGATTGATTATAATTGGTTTATTGAGTCCCTATCTAAATGCCACATGGCAAAAGTTTCAAGAAACTACGTTAAAGGCTCACTTTATATAATAGTATAGATGAAAGATATACAAAAGTGTTCACATGCAATATATATTTAATCTCCTAAAAGGGTGTATCTATACCATGTGCAACAATAACAAGTAAAGAAATAACTGCAAAACATATGTCCAAAGGCTACAACTTCCAAAGCTTAAGCTCGGTTACACAAAAAGTTGGCAAAACCAAACGTAATAAGCACTTGCTTGCCAAAGATACACAAAAGAAGAGCCTCTTGCCCTTTTCAAAACAATCCACACCTTCAACTAGGCGGGATCATCATATCCTTTCCTGCACAAATCCAATAGGGGCGAGCACAAAGCCTAACAAAGATATCTTACCGAAGTATATATATATTTTAAGCAGTCTCATATATGTGAATGCAATGTCATGCCATGTTCAAATATCAAAGTTTTCCGTTTCTTTTGAAAATACATGCAATGTCCGGTTCAAATGTTCATTTTCTTCATGAATTCAAAATTTAGACAATGAAGTGGTAAATACGACTCAGGTAAACAAGACACATTAAATTCTAAAATAAAATATTATTTTTTTCTTGTAATACACCCTAATCACTTATGTCTATTTTTCATATTCAAATCTTTTCATCTTCTTCTCCAAATTTCAATTATTTGTTTTCATCTTCTTTCTCATTCAAAAACTTTAATCCACCTCATCAAAATTCACCATTATCACTCCTCAAGGACTGAATCATCCTGGAAAGCACAAACTTTGAGACAGTACTTAAAGATAATACATTTGTTTATCCAAATAAATAAATTTTGAATAGTGTATAAACTGCTTAAAAAGAACCGAAAACCACAAAGTTTAAGCTGTTATTACAACTACATATTAAAATAATTATTGACGAATCAACAATTCAATGTCGCAGTTTTAACCTGTTCCGAACCATCCACCATTACAAAGATTTTGCAGAAAATTTGTCCCATTTAAAATAGATTCGTTCGGTTCAGTTTGGCCTCTTCCATTTGCCTTCCATGGAAGACTTGATGAAATTCATAACATTAAACCTTCATTTATTATTTTTTTTCCTATCATTGACAAATTTTAATTTTATCTTGAGTTAATTTGTGAAAAAAATATTGTGTATTGAAAGCAAACTATGATTCTAAATAATTTGATAGAGAGTACTAAGAAGTTAAACGTACTGAATAATTTATTGGGTGCAAATAGAATCTCCCGGTAATTATCTCAAATTTGTTTTCTCATACCTTTTAAAGCATGTTAGGCCTAAAGGAACAACAGCAACCCTCATATTTCAATTAAAAGATGGGTAAAAGTCCAACCTTGAACTTGGCCCAACCCAATCCAACTTTGAAGTGGTGAGGATAGCCCTAATTACCCAACCAATGCATACAAAAAGCCCTAGTCAATGTCTGCACCTATGACTAGTATATGTACAAGCGCTGGACAGTTTAACCCTCATAGACCCGTTTCAAATCCCAGACAGGGCAGAAGAAGGGTAGTGGATCAGCAGATGAAAAGAGTGACCACCATACACCAGTTATCTTTAGCGAACTATTAACATATTTTAATCAAATTTTTTACTTTATCAATACATCTAATTGAATCTCTAAAATGTGAAGAACAAAAATTAAAACATTAAAAAAAGTTTATTGAAAATCAAATACTGCTAAAATAACAGCCAAATAACAAACCCTAATCAAGTACTGTCGAGACAAAAACATTATCCTTATTCTGAAACCCTAATCAAGTAAAAATGAATTTGCATGAATTCTAGCAAACTGACTAAAAAATAGAAGAAACAATTTCTGTGTTTGAGACTTGACAGGAGGGTCTCAATTTATACATGTATAGGGGAGAGAGGAGAAGCCTCCAACCTTTATGGCTAGTCACTAATGCACCATTAACCTTTGCAATAAAGGCAGGAGTTACAAACCCCATTAATGCAGGAGTTACAAACCCTATTAACTCTTTCATGAAGCTTCTTTCATGAGGCAATTTCTCATTCAAATCTCAATGGTTTTTGGCCAATCTATTTGTGGTGTAAAGATCTCATTGCAAAGTATTTAGACCCACTTGGACCCAACACAATAGATGGTTGGGACTCACTTTAATATTTAATTAAAGTCACCAAAAAACCATTTTTTCCAACATTTGGTTAATTAGAAGTGAAATAAAATGATCATCCCACCAAAATATCAGTTCTCACATTTGGTTAACTAAAATATCATGAAAAATACATTATAAATCAAATTATCATTGATCATTTCACAGGATACTAAGAAATGAGCATTGCACTTTCATTCCAATGAACCAAACATAGTATAAATGTCAAAAGGAGATTTCCAAATAAAATGAAAAAAGAATAAACTAATTACAAATTCATGAACAATTGTGCCCAGGACACAGTTCTTAATGCACTAGCAAGTAATCATTTTGCAAGCAGTTTATTTTATAACAAAACCAAGAATGAGATCCAAATTTCAAATTTCTGTTATCAAATTAAAACTTAAAGGCATACAATACATATCCACATAAATAAAATCAAATCATGAATCACTATATGTTTAAATATGCGATGGTAACATTAACAATAACCTTACCATAGAAAAAAAAAAAATAAATATAAAATATATTTAGCATTTATATATAGAAAACTGTCTCTTCAGTTCAGGTCTCCATAATATTTCCGCATGGAATTTTTCTCAGAAGAACGAAAGTTTTTCAATTGATCATCATAAGAGACAAAGATTGACCAAACATATATTCAATAAAACCGATTCAATCAAAATAACAAAGTTAAAAAACCAAAAATCCCAAAACTAGTTGAAGACGGAACAAACAACAACAAAATAAAAGAAAAGAAGCAGAAAAAGATAATTCAAACCTTGTGCAGGAGACGAATGAAACGAAGATTGCTAGTAATTTATAGAGTCTTCTTCGCTTCTCGTTTCAAAACCCTAGCCATAGTTAACTAGGGCTTTTTGTATGCATGGGTTGGGTAATTAGGGCTAGCCTCAGTATTTCAAAGTTGGATTGGGTTGGGCCATGTTCAAGGTAGGATTTTTATCCATTTTTTCATTGAATATGGTCGTCGTTCCTCTAGGCCCATTATGCCGAAAACAGGTATGAGAAAACGAAATTGAGATAATTACCGGCAAATTTTTTTGTTTTGTGTGTGTAAATTATAAATATATTTCATAAGATTTGTTTAAAGTATAGATTATCTTTATAGTTTGAAAAATTATAAATATTCCATTGTTAGAATTTTTTATTTAATAGAATTAACTATAAAAATGAAATTCGTAATTGTTCTCCTATACAATAATAAAATCACCTAAATTATTAATTGAAACATATTTCTAATATCATTAAAAAGCTATTAATTGAAACATATTTCTAATATCATTAAAAAGCTATTAATTGACTTCATGATTTATTAATGAAATGGGCGATTTGTTTTGAAATTAAAAATCTCAAGGGTGTAATGTAATTTCCAAAATTACAGAGAACGATTCATATTTTAATCAAATCTGTATTTGTAAGTTATTCTTTTTTTTTTAATCACAGGAGGTGTCAAAACCCTAAAAAACTACAAAGAAAAAAGGCGAGGGGAGCTAGTGCCCTAAACAACCTTAGCTAACAGAGACTAGACGAAAGATGGAGGATTCTGCCGAACATGCCTTGAGGCAGCCTGATGTATGGCATTTTTGGTCAAAGAATTCATACACTAACTTGAAGATGGCACTGCCAATCCCTTGACATGAGATCCCTAATGTTTTTGACAAATATTAAAATTGGGATCCAATTTATCCATTACCCCAATAGCTTTGATAGCTTCCAAAGAGACCGTTTCTACTATAACTTTTCGGAAACCTTCATCCCATGCTAGTTGGAGGCCAATCCATAAGGCCCATAATTCTACCACAACAATAGTGGCACAACCAATGAAGGGTTGGAAGCCTAGTACCCACTCACCAACATCTGTTCGAATGATACCCCCAGTACCAGCATTGTTTCCATGACCTTGAACTGAACCATCCATGCTAAGTTTGACTCAATAAAGAGGAGGATGGCACAAGTGAGCTACTTCAGCACTAGGTGTATTCAGACACATTTACTTATAAATGTCTTGAACTAAGTTTTTTTTTTAAAAATTTTATATATATATATATACTTGTTCATTGTTTTGATAATGAAATTTTTTTGAGGCTTTAGATGTGTTTTGTGTTTGTGGAAAGATTATTTGATAATGCTACGGGAAATTTATTTTCAGACATTTTAGTTTTTGTTTTATGATTGATTTATTTTTAGTTTATTTGTGTTTTTTATTTTATTTTATTGAAATATGATGGGGAGAGTATAAGTAATTGAAATGTATTTTTTTTTATATAAAAAATTATAGGGATAAATTTATTACTAAAAGTTAGATTCTATTCATTTCGACGTAAAATATTTGACAAAAAATTATTTTTCTTATAAATTGATTTTACACAGAAAAAAATGTTTTTGTTTTTATTTTTCGGCGTTTAGTTTAAAATAAAAACATTTTATTGCTTAAAAGAAAAATTTTGATTCAATAAAGTATCATTTATGTTTTTTTAGGGCTGGTTTGGCAAGTCCAAAATAATCTAAAAAGTCAAAAAGTTACACAAAAAGTAAAAAAGTCATTACTATTCACAAATAAAAAATATTACAAAAATATTTTTATATATTTTTATAATACAAAAGTTTGATATGGCTCTGTCAGCCGTACTTGTGAAGCAGAAGGCCATTATACACTTTTTGGGCCCAAAAAAAAATTACATATGTAAAGCCACAAAGTTTGATGGTAATGTTGGGCCCTTGGGGGTCCACTAAGCATTCCGTTTTTATAATCCGAACCGTTCAATATGTAGAACTCGTCGAGTAATACATACTTGTAAAAAATCACGTTGATCGGATATCGTTAACTATATGATCAAATTAGTTTTGTATAAACAAATTAGTTTTGTATAAACAAAATGGATGGTGTGATAGTTAACTGTTAAAAAAAACTAATCCGATCATATAACTATCGATATCCGATCAACATGATTTTTTAAGGCATGTAATACTCGACGAGTTATACATTTTGAACGGTTCAGATTATTAAAATAGGATCCATGGTGGCCCTCACGGACCGACCATCACTGTCCAAACATTTTGCCCCGAAAGAGGTAATTATTTTCTATGTAAGACATGTGGGACAGCCGTACAACCACTCGACTTTCTTCCACTATACGCTTTATTTATACAATTTTTTATTACACATTTTTTCGTAAAAAGATAAAAAGTTAACCCAAACATCCATCTTTTTTTCCTCAACTTTTTAATCTAAAAAGATAAAAAGTGCACTTATTTAGGACACTACAAACAACCTCTTAGTGAGTTAAGATATTTATTTGAAAAAACTAAATATGTTGAAAATGTAATGAATGAGAGTCAACTTTGTAAAAATTAACTTACGAAATTTTTAAAAGTAAGTCATTTTTGAAAAAATAATGCAAAAATATTTTTCTTAAAAATTATTTTACTTGTTTTTTTGATCAACCAAATAACAAAAAATGAGTAAAATATTTTTGGCAAAACTATTTTAGGTCAAAAAGACAGAACCTTAGAGTAAAACTTTTTAGTAACCAACAGGGAGTTGGTTCAGTGGATAAGACCTTCGAATCCCTCGCTCAAGGCTTGAGTTCGAGTCTCCATAGCCCCTTGTTGGGGTTAAACATACTCCTTAGCGCTTAGAGCACGCGGGGGCCTAAGCTTCGGCCTCGACATAGGTGCGGTAGGGTTCCCTACAGATATGCTGTAGGTACTAAGGGGCAATACTCCCTGACGGATATGTTGGAGTAGCCTATCTACATATCCATTTTGTTGAATCAAAAAAAAAAAAAAACTTTTTAATAAGTAAAAAAAAAGTTTTAATAAGTAAGTCTTATGCACAAGATCTACCCGTAATTGCTCCAAAAAAATTTCACCTAATTAAAAAAATAATTAATAATAATAATAAATAAAACAAAATATAGAGCTTCGGGTCAGATGTTTTCATTATTATTACCTTCCAATTTGTGGTGTCATTTTATAGTTTTTTTTGTCAAAACTCTCACTACTCACTTGTATCAGGAAAAATGACAACTAATTTTAATGAAAAAAGTCCATGATTTAATTTTTTTTTTAATTTAAAGGATACAAAAATATTGTAAATTAAAATAATGGACAACTTTGTCCTTCATTAAAGAACCAATTAAACTATCATCTGTATCTGTGTCTCACTATATTCTACAACTCTTTCTCCCTCTCTCTTGCTTGCTCGCTCAAAACTTCACCATCTCCTTCACTCATCGATTGTATCTCATTACCTCCACTGTTTGTCGGCATCGCTCATTGTCACCACCATTCATTACCATCTGAGATCTACCGCTAGCGAATACCATCTTCATCATTCGTCAACACCACACATCGTCTCCACTATCAGTCGCTGTCTCAAATCTACCACTAGTGACCACAATCCTCATCGTCAACCTCCACCATCTTAGATCCAATATTGACAAACTCAGATCTAAGACTGATGGCTTCAGATCTGTTACAAATGGCCACCAGAGTATGTGCATTCAGTCTCTGTAGCGAACAAGAAAATTTTACTGTCAACAAAGTAAATTCTACTCTGGCAATATTGTTTATTTAATGTTTTGATAATTTTTTTGTTTAATATTTCTAATAGTAATGGTAAAATCACAGTAAGTGTGGTAGTTGTTAATATTGTGAAAATTTATTGTAACTGTGGTAGTGGTTGATATTGTGAAAATTTATTGTTTAAATATTAAATTGATAGAGTAAAATTTTACTATCATACATATAGTAAACTTTTACTACCTATAAAATAGTAAATTTTGAATAGATCTTTTTTTCCCAAATGGTGGTGATAGTGTGGTAGTGGTAGTAGTTGTCATTGAAAGCTAGAGATTCATGTCAAAAAGTGTTCGTTAAAAAAATATTTATCAATGATCGATGGTTAGAAAGCAATCATCAAAAATGACCGGTGACAGACGGAGATAGTGGCCAGTAGCTAGTGGTGCAAGGTGGTGGTAGTCTGAGATAGTGGGAGAAAAGGCTAGTAAAACTTGAAGTATTTTTGTCATGTGTTAATTATATTTGTCCTAAATGAATGAAAACCTTTTAATTTGTTCTTTTTGCAAGAAAAGAACAAATACTGAGGGAACCTTCCACCAAACATTCCTTACTTTAAAACAGCACAAAAAACTTGCCTGATGAATCAAAAAAATTCCCTCTTGTTACATTTCAAATTTGTGAGAGCATTTGAATTATTATTTTTTGATCACTAAAAAAAGGATAGAAACAATAGTGTTTCAAATAATGTTCAAAAAACATATGCTGTGTCTGCTCAAGCAAATATTTCCTTTGTATTACATTTTAATGGTGCAACATTATTGTGCCTGGGCATGTTCTAATATTGTACCATAAATAGCCCAAAGCCAGTAATTTTCTCTTTTTTTTTTCAAAAAAAAAAGGTCCAAAACCACGCTGGCAAAGTTTTGCTTACAATAAAAAAACTTCACTGGCATAAAATCTTTGCTATAATCAAGCTCCAGGTCTATGCTACCAACAGGTATGTAACTTCTATTCACTCAAAATACCATACCGAATTTGTAGAAATCATCTTTCTTAAATATTCAATATTGAGTAATTACATGTTGTGCAAACTTTCCTTATTGATATGATACCTAACCTATCATATTATTCAAGCGACTATTGTTGAAGTTTCAAAATTTCAATCATTACATGACACTTTAGTAATAATAAAGTGTAAAAAATTGTCCCGTTTGTATAACATTTTCCTTCAATATTTGCTAAACTTGAAAAAGATCAATTTAAAACAATTCCTTGCAAGTCCCTCCAATTCAATGGCCAAATTCATCGAGATTCAGTTAAAAAAAAGGCAATTCAACTTGTGATACATTCTTAGCATAAACTTCAAGAAGACAGACATTTAACCGATCTCAATGGGTTAACTGTGAGAAATGTTAAAAGGGAGTTGGCTTTTCAAATACACAGTTTCCTTTTCATACTAAAATATGTGCAGAGCAAAATCATAAGAGGAAATACAAATTCCGATACAAGTTGGCACAACATTGACTGCATGTGTTTTGGCTTTTAGTGCGTCGAATACAGTGTGCCAATAATGATTGCAATCAAGGACATGAAACAAAAAACATGTGTCGAGTGTATAAACACAACCTTTTCTATTATCCCACCGAGTGCAAGTATTCCAAGCTTACCATTTTTTCCTAATCCAACGAAAAAGCTCCATTGCAATACCTGAATAAGTAACAAAACAAGTTGACAAATATGCTTTATCAGGATGTGTGTAACTCCAAAGTACATCCAGAACCATGAAGGAAACGACAAATTCAAATTTTGGGAATACACTGCTGATGGCAATCAAGAACAAGTCGCAGAACATGAGAGAGAGAGAGAGAGAGATGTGTTTAATTCAAATTTTCAGCAATAATAGGGAATTCAATAAATAATTCAAGAACCCTCTAATACTATAACCAAAAAAGAATATAGCTAGTATCCAGTGCAATCCAATTTTAAAAGAATCTGAACACATTCACTCAGTGAAGAAAAGCTAGGAATTCCAGTAATTGCTTCCTAGAATGGAAAAGCACTTTGCTTCAACACTACTATCTTTTCCCATTGTATGTACGAAACACTAGCCACTAGTTTTTCTTTTGTTCTTGGTAATAAAACCTACCAGGCATCTTTCCAACTCCATGATCTTTGCTTCTGTTAATGTTTCTTCATTGACGAGTGCGATGTATACCCTACTGTGTTTCGAGTCCACATGCAATCTCTATCTCTACACACATACAAAGACATCTCCTGCTTCCATCGTGCTTGGTTTTAATGTTTTACCATTTACACTCTATCCACGCCATGACAAAGGTCACATGTTTTACCATCTACCCATAATTATATCAAACCAACAACTCTGCTTGTATATTATTAAAGGCAATTAGCATTCTCCAATTATTTTAATCATGGTAAAATGGAAGCAGCAATCATTCATTGTAACTTTTTTGGTATCCAATCAATTAGGTTGATTGCTATCTTTTATTCTGTGTCAATAATAAGATACTAAACCAACACAGTTTTCCTCCAGTTGATCTGATCATACATACTGTCCAAGCAAGAAAATTGGTGTCTTCAATACTCACATAACAGGGCTTCTGTGGCCACTTCATTCTATCACTATCAACCAGTCGCCAGTCTAATTGTTAAAATGAAATATGTTCAAAAAAAGTCTCAATTTTAAAATTATCATGGTATAAAAAAAAATTCAACAATCTTCATACATTTCTCACTTCTTTTTTTTTTTTTTTTTAAATGAGTGGTACAGTTTTTCAGATTTCTTCCTTCAACAATAATTATTTCTCACTAAGAACATCGGCAGTTTCCAAAAAAAAACAAACTCACGAAACAAAAACAGAAACAAAAAGGCTAAAGTGGTTACTTCAGATAATAGGTCAGTATTAGTATATGCATATGACTAAATGCAGATATATATTAAATTTTTTCAGCAGTCCAATATAAGGTTTACTTGATAAGCAGAACTGGTTGAACATTTATCACTTTATTCCAGTTTACAAGAAGATTTTTTTTACCTCAACACCTGGAACTAATGCACAACCAACTCTTTTTTTATCATTGTGGAAGTGATTTAATTAAATTAAGATTTACTGTTAGTTGTTTCTTTTCATGTTTTTCCCCTATTCCTTGTGTGGTGTGCATCTTTGCATAAGCTCAGGTTGAAACAAAAAACTCTTAAGCCTTAGGGGTTGTTTGGGATGATCTAAATAAGTGCATTTTTTGACTTTTTATGAAATATGGGTTGGGTTTAGGTTGGTTTTGAAGTGATGCGTTAGAGAGGTGATGTGACTTAAATAAGATGATGTGACTTAAATAGGATAGTGACTTTTTGACTTTTTCAAGACATGCCAAACTTGGCCTTAGTACAAAGTCAGTGACTCAACATAACAAAGGTTGTTAACCTAGTTTTAGACAAATTGCTTAATTCTGTTCCACTAATGAGAGTCATAATAAACAAGTCAAACAATCTAGGATCTGTTTTGGCATTTCATAGTTTTCCACTTCTGTGATGCAATCAAGCTGAAGGATGCTCCCTTTAACTTCAAAAGAGAACCAAAAGTTGTGGATGTCAAAAAGCATAGCAGAGAAATTATATCACCAAGCCATAAGAAAGCAAAGAAGCATGGACAAGGTGGCATGGCGTGATGTTGCGGACACCATGACGACGACAACAAAAAATCTAAAGTCGGACGCACTTCAAACATTTGAGGAATATGTGTCTATCATTGCTAGACAAAAATTTTTAAAAAAAAATTACAAATTTGAATAATCCAATGATAAAAGAAAAACATTGTACATGTATATCTATTGATGTAGGATAGGGCTGGATTTTGAAAACAAAGGTTCTTTGATGGCCTAAACAGACTATTTTGAAGGTTTTAATGGTTAAATTGAAGGCTAATAGGTAGGGAAAGGGATTAGGGTTGATTTGAGGGTGACTGGATAAAGTTTTAAGGTTGAAAAGTGCACTCTTAGAGGGTTGTGAATAATAACTTGAGAATAGTAACTAGGGTATGTGGGCAAAGAAGAACAAAAAGAAGAAGATATGTCTAAGAATTACTCCTAGAATCCCTCACGCATCACACCTAGGATTCGATTCATCACAATTTATAAAGAAGCTTCAAAAGCTCAAAAAATTCTCTAAAATATCAATTATATTAAGTTATAAACATTACATAGCTTTATATAGAATTAGAAGACTTTCTAAACCAATCAGAACAAAATAGGGAAATTAATACAATATCTTTGACTTCCAAAATCAATTTACCCATGGACGACCCATATAGCCTATGTTAGCAAATATGAAAATTACCAAAATACTCCTAACCTAAAAATCCTATAAAATATAAATTAATCATAAAATAAGACTCTGATAATATTAGAAACATGATTTGTTCCTATTAGTTTTTCTTTGAAATCATGCAAATTTCCAAATATCGCTACTTCTCTGAATTTACTCTTTTTTGAGCTTATTCTTTGAATTTACTCTTTCTTGAGCTTCTTCTTTGAATTTACTCTTTCTTGAGCCTCTTGTACTTTGCTTCATCTATTCTCCTCCTTTAGACTTTAATTTTAGTGTTACATTACATTTTGTTATTATCTTTAAATTAAATATTCATATATATGACACATAATATTTGTTTATCCTTATATATGACATATAAAAAATATATAAAACAAGATATTTTGCATGTCAACATGTCATGTCCCACAATTTTTGAAATTTTCCATGTCAATGTGTCCTTTGTCATGTCAATGTTTGTGCAACTTAGGAAGAAAGTACTACTTTGTTGAAGCATAAGAAGAAAGATTTACCTGTCACTAAACTTCTCAATAGCATCAGAGGCATAGAGAAGTGTCTCGTTCGCTTTCTCTAAAACCATATAAAGTTCCTTCCCTCTTGTAACCCGAGCAATCACCCAAGCATTGTTTTTTGCCCTTATGCATATTTCCAAATCCTTCTCACAGTTTGGGCCATCCAATTTTGCCTGACTCTTTTCCAAATCAACCTCCTCTCGAAGCTTACTTAAGGCAACCAAAGATTCCTGCAACATTTACTTTCTTGTTAGCATACCCTACATCGCAATTTGCTCATTTTCCATCGAAAAAATGAAAACAAGAAATTCCCAATTTGCTTATTTTCTTATTAGCATGCTCAACATTAAACTACAATAGGGTGTTCTTTTTTAATTTTCCAAGGATGTAACCAAGTAACCAAGGGTAGAAATCAATGACTAAGCAAAATAATTGAAGCTTTCCAGAGCCTGAATATTATAGCAGAGACAACCCCAAGAAAGAACCCACTAATTATACATCAAAAACACTTCATCAAATTCTCATACAGTTACACAGTTAATATCTCTACACCAGAGCGCTCATTCTTAATTTTTTTACGTGAAAAATGCTTCTAAGTAATCACAGTTGGGGGTGCAAATGAGCCGAGCCGAGCCGAGCCGAGCCAGACAGTGTGTTCAAGCTCAGTTCAGTCCCTCAAGGGCCTAGGCTCGGTTCCCAATCATGACAAACCCAGCCACACATTGCACACTTGGCTCATAATTGTTTCACAAGCTGACAAGCCAGGCTCAACTCAATTATGTCAGTGAAACCATGAAAGACTATTGCAGGCAGGTGTGCATGAGAGAGTAAAAAAAGCTTAAGGACAAAGTCCACCATGTGACAAACAGTTTAAAGTAGATATAGACAAATATGTGCAAAAATTAATTTCTATCTTTTAAGTAAGACTAATTTTTTTTTTATTGGCAACGGAAGAAAAATTTATTTAAGTAAGAAAGATTACAACAAGCGGACAAGAAGTCCTCTACAAAAGAAGAAAGGACATCACCAATCAAAATAAAGAGACAATTTACAGATCACAAATTGCTATCCAATCTCCAGAAACCAAAAACAACAGAATCCCTTTAATGAGGAATATGTGTCTATCATTGCTAGACAAAAATTTTTAAAAAATCATCAAAATTTTCCTCAAAGATTCTTGCATTCCTTTCCAACCAAATAACCCAAAAGATTGAGAAGACAACACAATGCCACAACACTTTTGCTTTGTCCTTACCTCCAAGCCCCAGAACCAGAGTCATCCATTGGGCATCAATCAAATGAAAGAGATGATGCCAAAAATCCAAAGCCACATGATAAATAACCATTATACAAATAAGTTATAGCCACTACAAGCTCATGTTTGTAAGCCCAAATGGTGTTTTCATTTCAATTCCGTGCCATTCCAAGACCACTGTGCTAATTACCATAATGGCTTTGGCAAGGATGCAGGTTAAGCAGCATAGAAAAAACAAAAATTTAAGGTGATATATTTCTAAGAATTGATAAGCTCAAAATTCAAAATTCCTGTATCCACTCCACTAGTTCGATCTGGCTCCTCAATTTCTTCCAGTGTAGATGTGAAAAGTACATATTATATTCAATCAATAAAATGAAAACCACTCTTTAATTCATGACTACCCTATATACAATTAAGTCCTGCAAATAACTGATACAATTGCAACAGATAACAGTGTGATATATAGTAAATGCATCTTTGCAGCCAATACCGAGTAGACAGTGTAAGTAACAGAATTCACACTAGAGAAGTTCACACGACAAGCAAGACGCCAGAATGATGCCTATGCAACAACCAATTTGCTGATCTCGCATAGGTTTATTTCTCTTAACTCATAACCCATCCCAACAGGGTCAACAAAAGAACAGCTTTGGAACACAAATGAAAGGTGGGAATAAGCTGGTTGCTTGTCAGCCACTGCAGAAGCCACGGGCCTTCTGACAAATATCATTAAAGTGGAAACTAAGAAAAATATTTTCAAATTAATGATGAACTTTGCATCATTAAAAAATAAATGTATAAACTTTTCCGTGAAGTGATAATATTTTTTAAAATTACCACTGAAATGCTATTTCCCCTAATATAAATTGGATTTTAAGCAAAGCGCAAGCCTACAGGTTGTGGCATTTCAATCATTTACGTAAAGCTATATTCACTTAATTAATACTTTTTTTTCACTGTACACTATCAATTTCTCTTTATCTACTTCAAGAGCTGAGGGCATCTGGAATTACTTCACCAGCCCTTCAGCCTAGCACTTCTTATACCTTGCAAATGTGATTACTACATTTACAATGTATCAAACGTAGACTACAGCTCAGAATGGAAAATTGGCACCTATGCAATTCAGTCTAGCTGCCTCTTGGAACAGTAAATAGCAACATGTCCAAAACACATCCACTATGAATGTAAAAACAGCAATCTCTTTTCATGATGTGAGAAGAAAGGAAGGAGTTGTTTAAACTTGAAGATCTCTAATGCTTAAACCTACCTGCTCTAAATAGACACAGAACTTTCATAGCCCAACAAGAATAGTAACTCATTGGAATTGAACCAAATTCCTGTGCCCAACTACCATAAGTTTCGGGCATTAACTAGTTTACAGTTGCAGTAATACATGGAAGCATGGACCAACTTCTGCAAAGGCATGTTAAACCACACAAAAATGATATTACTGAGCTAGCAGACGACAATTGCTGACCTTCGTTAGTGTTGTCACTTTTGCAGGTGGAGAAGCCCTAGTTACATTTCTGTCACCATCCACTAGTAAATAACGGTACCCACTCACATGATATGCATTCTCCCCACCCCATCCTTTTGATAATTTTTCCTCAACTTTGAAAATCTTTAGTGATGCCTGCCAGATTTAGAAATTAAAGAAAAAAATATTAGCACAAAGAAATGCTAATCGTTAAACACTATGTTATAAAATCTATGATTTGCCAAAGAAAGGGCAATGAAATTACTTATACTTAATTTTCTGACTAGCTAAACAAAATAATAATTTTTTTGGAACATGCCTACTCATTTTCATCTCACTTTGTCAACACAACCAAACAAAATAAGAAATATAGCCTCTTTCATTTAACTTTTCTTTTCCTGTCGCTTCCCTTTCATTGTCATATAATCATATTACTCTATTGGATCAAAAACTAGAAGCCGGCGAATTTGCTGAAGCATAAAAGAGTTCAATCAGACAAGCTTTCAAAACAACCATTTATGGTTGCATTTATCAAATGATATATAGATATAGATATAGATATATGGAGAGAGAGAGAGAGAGAGATTTCAATGAGAAAAACCAACAAGGGATTTGTTGTAAATTGGCATGCTGCATAAAAATGATGAAGTTCAAATAAGTGCATAATGCTAAAGAATCAAATATTTATAGCATATGGCAACAAATTTCGAGTCAACCCTAAGTAACTGTGATATAGCTTTTGATTGCATTGATTTCAGTTGTCATCTGATTATATTAGATTGACATTCATAATTGTTAGATCACCACTAGTACTAAAAGCTTAAGTTGAACCATAATGCAAATCGAGAACAAATGCAAGCGTAAAGACTTGAACTCAAAACCTCACCCAACCTAAACTTTGATGCCATGTTAGATCACTACTATTGCTGATCAAAAATGTTAGATCACTACTAGTCTCAAAAGCTTAAACTATTAAGAAATGGGCCCAACAATGTATATCAGGCTATCCAATAGTAATGTCAAAAATAATTTCAAACGTATCAAAAGTATGCATACTAGACTATGGCCACGCTTAGAAACTTAGTTTTTTAGCCAAAAAGCCACTACAAGTTGTCAAATCACTCTCTCTACTTTTCTGCACATCTTTTCGAAAAAAGCCACTAGAAAGGCCAATTCCCAGACAACATGAGTAGACTAGCCAAGGTTGAGGGGTTGAGCGGCTACTGTCCACATGGGGCCATCTGGGCTTTGACCAATTTTTACTTGAAGACAGTTTGGCAAAAAAAAAAAAAAGAAGGAAAAATGGAAGAAGAAGCATTTAAAAAGAGTTGGCCATGAAAGGCCAAAATTCTTCTAACTCCTCTGTCTTCCTTTCTTTTTTAACTAATAAAAGTGTGTTTTAATGGACTTCATGTGTGCTTTTAATTGACATGCCTCTTACAGATTTTCACACCTAACTGTGCCTTTACTTTTTCCAATTTTTTACTTATGTGTCCAGATCATATCTGGACAGGTCTCTTGCACATTATAGCCTCTAGAACTTGAAGGAATATAATCCATTTGACCTCCAAGTATCTAATTTCCAAATGTGAGCTTGTTCACCCAAGTTGCTTCAAATGTATACAACCATAAAAATGAATGGGAAGGGATTTGTGAATGAAATAGAAGGTCAAAAAAAATTTACAAATCCTTTCTCGTTTCTTTTCCCTTCACAAATCTCTCTACAAATCCAACGTTCAAACACAACCTAAAATGAATGTGGCATCATTCCTGATTACATTGCTAATAGAAATGAATGCATTTTTCTTCTTTTTTTTTTCTTTTTTGTTCTTTGAATGAGTAGAAATGACAGCATCCATGCAATGAATGAAAACCAAATAACAAAGATTGCAACCCAAAGAATGCATAGTTGCGATTCTTCCTTGGAAGCGCAAAATCGCGCTTCTTCCTCAGAAGCGTGAGTCCCTTCCACGATTCCTGCTACTAAGGTCCAGATCATATCTGGACAGGTCTCTTGCACATTATAGCCTCTAGAACTTGAAGGAATATAATCCATTTGACCTCCAAGTATTTAATTTCCAAATGTGAGCTTGTTCACCCAAGTTGCTTCAAATGTATACAACCATAAAAATGAATGGGAAGGGAATTGTGAATGAAATAGAAGGTAAAAAAAAAATTCACAAATCCTTTCTCATTTCTTTTCCCTTCACAAATCTCTCTACAAATCCAACATTCAAACACAACCTAAAATGAATGTGGCATCATTCCTGATTACATTGCTAATAGAAATGAATGCATTTTTCCTCTTTTTTTTTCTTTTTTGTTCTTTGAATGAGTAGAAATGACAGCATCCATGCAATGAATGAAAACCAAATAACAAAGATTGCAACCCAAAGAATGCATAGTAACCATATATTCAGCAATAATAATGAACAGAATTTCTCTGGCAAGTGACAAGTAAATAAACAATCTCAAGAGATGAAGAAAATGTCAATAAGATGCTATGAAATGTGTGCATATAACTTTTTTTTTTATCCAGAGTAATATATAGATCCACAGAGAAACACTGTAGACAAAAAAAAACTAGAGGCTTAAATCTTTTAGATGGCAAAAGAAAGGTTTTAAAAGGATATGACTTAGTAAGAAAACTTAATTATGCATTCACTAGACTTACTAAAAAAATGTGACCTAATTGCAGATGAATTGTAGAAAGACTAGTATAATTCTTAAAATTGATATGACATGGCAAGATATACAACTGTCGAAGAGTTCAATACCAGACATTTTAATAGCTACAAAATAGGAGACTCACATTTTCAAGAACTTGCTGCTTCACCATGGAGATGCCTTGCTCCCTGTTAAGAATGGAAGTGGTAGGAATTAGAAGGATCAAGGTAAGGTTTCTATGCTGAAAAGCACAGAGATACATTCTCTCCTCCGTTTGCTGAAGCCAAATTGTTGGAGTGGTAGGAACCACACTACCAGCCTCTGCATTCCAAATATCAGTGACAAGAAAACCATCATTCCCTTTGGTCCACTTGTCATGCTGCAAGGGCCTTGCAACACGATAACTGCGATCTCCACCAGAGGAGGTATCAGGTGAATGATAAAATTGCTCCAAAACTGCACCAGTGTTTGCTGAGATAGACCCAGGGGCGGCATGAGATGAGACACTTCCTTTGCGTAAATAGGACCAAGAACTCACCCCAGAGGATAGAGCACGTGGCGTCAACCTTAGGACAGCATATGTAAATACGTTTATAGTGTCCTCCTGACAAAAATTTGTGATGATGATTAACAATCACAGTGAAAGTACCCTGCATTGGACCCTATCAGAACTCTGAAACAAGAATATTATATAATCCCTAACCACCTAAGAAGCACATATACAAACAGATGCCATGCTATACAGGCATATTGACATGGCAATTTAAAAGAAAAAAATATTAGGACAGGATATGGCAGGGACATGATAATAAATAAATATATTTTATATATAATGAAAATAGTAAGAACTTCTTATTTTATGTTACAAATACATCTTTATTTTATTATATCAAAACAGTTTTCACATTCTATATTTTGAAAAAGAAGTGTGAACTAAAAATCCTAATATCTATTGTAGAAAGATCTACTCATAAATAAATTGAAAGTTTTAGGCCTCAGAAATCCTAAAATAAAAAATAAAAATAAATAATGGGGGAATAATAGGGATAAATCCAAATTGTTTAGATATTTTAATCATTTGCCTCCAATTTTTATTCTTGAAATTTGTGATGTTTTTCAAGTACATCTAAGCGATGGACATACATGTTTCAACTGCCCAAAGTGTGTTCACTTCTATAAAAATATAAAAACTGATATAATAGGTTTGCACATATGTCCAACATGTACATAAAAGTGTCCAATGAAAGGCGGTGTCTAACAAGGACACAACACCTTAGAAGTGTTCATGCTTCATAGCTAGCCATTTTCTCAGCTATAAGGAAAATCAGCTGGCTCAAGACGGCCTGGTAGTAAAGATATAATATTACACACACACACACACAAAAAAAAAAAAAAAAAAATGAAAGAAAGAGGCCCATCGAATGAAAACCATACGGGTAAAGAGTTGTGGACACTAGCAGGTCCTGAAACAAGATCAGTGAGTAGCACGGTGTATTCCCAGCACATGATTCCAATACTCTGACCAGTGACTGCCAAAAGCAGACATAATCAATCAAAATATGCATGAAGAACATTTTGACCAAATTTTGGAGTACCCGAACAAATTATATATTCCCGCTATTTTTACTTTTTTTAGTACTTGTGTGAGTTCCAATCAGACAAAGCATGTGATTAAAAAGAATATGGTAGTGTCAATGGAATATCTTTTACTTGACACACAAGAAGAATCATTTCCACTGCACCAAATGATCTTTTGAATTAGTCAAAAACAAAAGTATTCAGTTTATAGTGGCATCATTATTTGAATAAAGTTTTACAGTAAAAACTGCATTTGATTGTCATAAAAGCAAGAAACCACATCAAAAGATGGAGATATTATTACTGAATTTTTTCTTGTGCTCTTCCGTAAAAGCCAAACACAAAGCAAATTTAAATCTCATAAGAAATAAGTAAAATTGCAAACGATAGTATGGCACTTTGATTCTTACAAAGCATTTGAAGCCTTATAGCTTCAGAACAAACCCGCAATAATTAAATAGTGGCTACAAAATCTCATAAGGAATAAGTAAAATTGCAAACAATAGTACGGCACTTTGATTCTTACAAAGCATTTGAAGCTCTATAGCTTCAGAATTAACCAGCGATAATTATATAGTGGCTACAAATGAACTGAAGGACCTTTGAGGGCATTGAGTTACCAAGTTTCAGATTTGATAGGATCTATGCTACTTTCTCTATTTCTTTGGGTAAGAGAGGACTGTCCATCTCTTAGTAGCAGCAGGGGCCTTGCTCCTTGATCCCAAGCCTTGCTCCTACCCCCACTCTTGCTCCCAATCTTAAACTCTTCTATAAGGCCCTCGCACCCCCGTCCTCTCGCCCTTGCCCCCACCCCCACTTCATGCAACTATGGTCCATTTTATGTGTTGACTTCTGTCCAATTTATTGAGATTTGGCCATGCCCATAAATATTTAGCTTTTTATTTGGGCTTTTATTTGAACAGGGTTCAACCCCCTTATGACTTACTGTTTTAATATTAATTTATTGGGGAAAAAGTAGCAATATGAATTGTCTGGTGCTTGTGGGACAGGGAACTTGTGCTTGAGGACAATTCAGGTGAGCCAAAGGCACCTGGAGTCTAGACACCTCATTAGTGGTGGCGGCGGCGGCGGCGGCGGCGGACATGCTAAACTTTCTCTTATGCTAAACTAAACATTAACACTTAGTTTTATATATCACCTCACCCTAGATGAAATGAACTGATGGGATGGTTCACAATAGTTGAGAATCTGTGGGGTTAGTGGCAGTGACCGAAAAAAACCAAACCTATACACATAAATGAACCTGTTCAGTGCCCCTGTGCTCAAAGGAACATAATAGCATCCACACAAATGAACAAAAATCTAAATTGACCAGAGAACCAATAATTGTCATAAGGTACATCAGCACACAGTCCTCTATAAACGCCATGTGTAAACATAAAAGACAGTGGGATGCATTGATGGAATTCTACCCTGGAAAATGACCAGTGTAAGCTTTCCATTGAAATCCAAGCAAAAAAGCATCTCAATCACTAGCAAACCTAAGCAGCTTTGTAAGTTTTATTCAGGTGTATGTATTTATTCAGGTGTATGTATCCCATGGCAAATTCGGAGAGGCGAAGGCATTTACACACTTTGGTACAGAAATAAATGAAAACTCCTAAATACAAACCTGAACTTCAATTGCAGCTTCACGTCCAACAGTCAACATCTGTACAGTTCCACGTTCCTTTAAAGAGTCACGAAAATTAGGTAACTGAAGTTTCTTCCCAATAAGAAAATCTGCCTCAAAGAGAAGAATCATATGTAAGGAATGAGAAACATCAATTTCAGCATTGCTCCAGTAGCATAAATCCAATGGAAATCATCTGATACAGCAACTTCAGCATTACCCCAGCAGCAGAAATCCAATGGAGACCGCTTTTGAAATGCTGACAATTAGTGACTAACAGTAAAATATTTTGAACTACAGAATACAGAATAATAGAATTCTAGAATCTTAAATAGCATAAATTAATGCCTTACCACCTAAATAATCCATGATGAAAGAATACAAATGAGAACGGATAAGACCGCCACCAGGCTCTTTATCAAGCAACGCTCTTATAGCTCCATGAAACATCACGAACAGGGAGTGTACTTCCTTAAGAACCCTACGCAATGCATCAACCCGCCATATGGCTTCTGACTCCTTACTTTTCTCCACTATCTAAAACAGTTCAGAAACTAATTAAACTACTAAGGATGAAGAAGAGTATGAAGCAACAACATTCATATACATTTTCCTATTAAAAAAATGTGAGGATCAAACCATATGAGAAAAACATATATAAGAAATTCACATGTTACATCTTCCAGGGGGAATTAACAAAGACATTTTCCAGAGAGACCAGTCAACAACTTCAAAGGTCCACAGCTACAAGAGAATCTTTCAAGTGGTTATAGCACATAGATGGACAGAAGGAAAACTGTATACCCTCGTACATGCAGCAAAGAACCTTCTTGGGGAAGCATGATGGTTTAAGCATTTGATAACCAGGACTATGTTCCTTTGGATCCTTGCAAGTTACAATAACTGGTAGACATACTACATTAATTATTTGAAAATAAAGTTTAAAAAAAAAAAACAAAAAATTGTGGACTCTGATACCGTGGCATTTGCAAGTCTTTGTACACAGTTATATTGACAAGCATTGGGCAAGTGTTGGGTATTTATTGAGTGAGCAAGATTAACTAGTAAGAAGATAAAGAAACTGAGTGCATTGGGTGAATACTTGAAGAATATGAATGATTATGCTAGTACAAGGACCAGCTCTTGATGTAGAAAACTAGGAGATTTAATACAGCAAGATAGGTCAGCTACACAATTACTGTTGACAAGCATATACCAATGACAATATTAAATAAATATTTAATCATACTAGCCAAGGTCATTATTCATTAGCCATATTGTTTAAAATGAACAGATACCGCACCATCACCATCCAGATATCTGGCTCTGGCTCGTAAAAAACATGAGAATGCCCCTCTGCTTCTATGACCTCACAAGCAGCCTCTGGAGAGAAAATTCTGTAGGAAGATAACATTATGTTTTTGACAATAACAATAATAGAAAGTGCAAACAATTTTACAATAATTTTCTTTAATGCTAAATACAAACTGAAACAATCCATTTCGTTTTCCCCGGCATTTTAAGGAAAGAATTATAACCTATGGAATCATGCCATTACAAAAAGAACAAACAAAATTACCACTTCAGCCTACCAAGAAACCTTCACAAACAGAATTTCAGCAGCTAGAACAGTTTTTTCATATTTCTCTAATTCAAAAGTTTATTCAGATTGTCTTTTAATAATTATTTCTTTTGTCAGTACCTCAAATACACAATTATTTTTCGAATTTTCAATATGCATGCACCTTGAAAACTTCTACTACCTCTTTAGATGCAATAGGACTTGGTCCATGGTGCATATGATTCCTAAACATTTCAACAAGAAGTTTCTGAAGTACATACAAATATCTGCAAGTGTGTTGTACGTATATGGAATTTAAGAGCCATGATTACCAAAAAGAAACAAAAGAAATGAAATCTCACTATCCCAGCTATATAATCTTCGACAAGAAAAAAATAAGCAATTCGGTGTATCATTTAAAGCCTCCTTTGCCATCATCATCACTACAAAGACAATCCTTTGTCTGATTTTATCACTTCTATAGAAATATGTACGACAAGTAACCATGTAGCTACTCACCTTGTAAAAGTGATAAGTCCTTCACTGAGTCCAATCACAGAAAGTTGTGTTGCAAAGGGCAAATCAGCAGGCAGGAAAGAAAAACAAAATCTTGTCCAGCTCCTGCCCTTCATGTTGTCCTCTTCTCAAATCAAATATGCTAAACTTTATCATTTCATTGACAGTTGCAACAGATGACAACCCCATTGTACTTTCCAATCATACACCTTGATGCCAAAAATAAGATAGAAAATAATATAACAAACAGATAATAGTACATAGTGAGATGATATTCAAAAGGGAAAAATAAAAATAAAATAAAATAACCCATAGATCCTATATCATCCAATTGTAATGTCAGAGTAAACCAAAATGAAAGGCCTTAACTAACAAAAAGCATTTAGGTGGATGGTTGTAATGCTGGCTGCTGCTTTATTCATACTCATTTCTCCCTACTTACACGAAAGTAATCCTCTACTTCGGTCCGGTAGGAGGCGTCTAATAGTGGAAAGTGTGAAGCCTGCAGCCTACTCCTATTATAGGACGGGCGGGAGGAACTCTAGTTTAACTTGGCAAACGGTGTCCCGTTCCATAGTCGACTCCAAGGTGGCATTGTTTGTGTGGAAGGTGCTTGATGAAATCTTGATCTTTGATAAATTATTAGGAGCCGGTTTATTCTTGATTTTTCTTGCATTAAAAACCGATATGCTGATTCGGAAAACCATCTTTTGCTTCATTGCCCTGTGGGCTATGAAACATGAGGGGTATTGTGGAAAAGCCTTAAAAAAAAAACTACAATATGGATACGGCTAGGCCGATAATTTTTTTTATTTTTATAATTTATAGTTAAAGGATCCAAACTACAAAAGAAATAGAAGAATTACAAAACAAAGTATGATTTGTAACAATCAAATAACAACTCAAAAAAAACATCAAACAGTCTGAAAGTAACAACAAATTATACATCAGCATATGAACTCTAAGATAAAATCTAATTGTTTCTTTCTTTTTCTTTTTCTTAGATTTTAAATTTATTAGTTTTTATTTCATGTAATTTTGATTGCGTATAATAACAGGAAGCAAATGAATTGTTTCTTTGAAAAAAAAAACATATCGAAAAGAGGGGAGAATCGAAGCAAGAAGAGAGAGAGAGAGAGAGAGAGAGAGAGAGAGAGAAGAGGAAATGATGAAGAATCTTACCTGAATCAGGTGTCGGACTCGTCGAACGGCTGCGAATGGTGGCTGCGAAAAAAAAGAAACAAAAAAGACGATGAAAATCGGAGTAGGATAAGAAGGAGGAAGCGGAGAGAGGAACTGAGTGTGATCTGATCTCTGTCTGTAATATGTTAAACCTAATTGCTCTGCTACCCTTCAATTTTTCAAAATATATTTTTTCACCCTGCCATATCGAATCCGTACTCGATGACTATGCAAAATACCCTTCAATCTGCTAAAATTATATTGATTCGCATCAATCATACCACGCTATCTATTAACTGCCATTTAAATTTTAAAATTTAGAATTAATTATCAAAAAGTCCTGTCTACATATATTTGGTGGTAACTTAGGTCCTGTCAAAAAGTTTTTGAACCAATAAGTCTGATTTATAGGTAAAAAGATGTTTTGCCCTTTAATCCCAAAACTAAGAATGTTCTCAATTTTCAAAACCGAAAATGATCCAGAGCTCGAAACTCTACGGCTCGAAACGGCTTGAATTTTTTTTCCTTTTTCAAGCAAAGGAGCTCTGCACAAACAGAGGGAAGAGGAGAGGAGAAAGAGGGAGAGAAGAGAGGAAGAAGAGAGGAGAAGAGAAAGAGGAGGAGACAGCACCACCGCCGTCGCAGTCGCCTCGCCGCCGTCATCGCATCACCACCTCCTCACCTCATCGCTGATCGTCGCACCACCGCCTCGCCGATCGTCGCAGTCGCAGTCACAGTCACAGTCGCAACCCCCTCCTGTCCAGTTCGTCGCAGCAGCTAGCCTAGCGCAGCCCCGCCTCCTCCTCTAGCCCGATTTTTATGGCCCCCTCCCCTCCCTCCTTCCTCCTCCTCCCGATCTTCTTCTCCACCCTTCTTCTTCTCCTTTCTTTTTCTTCTTCCTTTTCTTCTTCTTCTCCGTTCTCTTTCTCTGCAAACAACACAGGAAAAAAAAAAAAAAAAAAAACGACACCAAAACGACGTCGTTTTGGTATCGAGCCAAATTCGCGCCAAAGAATTTCGAGCTACGTAGCGGGGTCGTTTCAAAACTGAGAATGTTCTCAATTTTCAAAACAAAGAATGATTTCAGTATATAATTATCAAAGCTAATAAATTTTTGTTTGGCTTCTGAGAAAAGTATGGGATTGAAAATAAAGATAATTCTGCAAACCTAACACATTAGATTGCTGAATTGAGTTTTTTTTCATGATTAAAATTGAGAATGTTGTAAACTGAGAATATTCTCAATTTCAAAAAAGAGACTCAGCTACACAATGACTTGAGTTTAACAAAGAGTTTGCAATTGAGGGTCGTGGCTTGCTTTGCGTTATGATTTTAGAATCTAAATCTGGAGCCGACGACGCACTGGACGAAGAGGAAGCGATTGGAGGTGAGAGGAAAGGGATTGAGGCAAATGAAGAGCCGTACGGATGAGACCAAAGATTGGGTCTGTGGAGAAGAGAATGATAAGTAATATAACGACGATCATCATGATCGCTGCTCCGATTATGTAGCGAAAAGGGCTCGGTGGTCCAACATCTATCACCATCCTGAACTGAAAACACACACCCAATCACAAACATGTATGTAATTAAACCCTAGACTCCTCCTATTGATCAAACAAGATCTACATCCAAATTCACAGAGAAAAAGAGAGAGAGAGAGAGAGTTACAGACATCATTGGTGTTACCGGAAGAAATATAAATGATGGAATTCCAGTGCTAGTGTAGCGATGGTTGGAAGACGACCATCTGATTCCCAAATTCAAGTTTGGAAGGGTAAATTGGTCTATTAAAAATTAATGGGACTTGAAGGAGTAAATAATTTTATCTAGGACCTAATGGAGAGTGTCTCTATTTACACACCACATATCATCTCAAGACACACCAATACTTAATTCACACCTTCAGTAATTTAATAAATAATAAATTTGTTCAGTACACACACAATGTTCCATTTTTACCCTTAATTACACACCCCGCCACCGCCACCACCTGCAACCCAGCTCTGTCGCCGGCGCTGGTGTTAGCCCCTCCCTCTTGCCCTCTCTTCTTCAAGCCACCATTGCGATCTGCCCTTCAACCTCCCCCACTTCGGATCTAAGGTTTCAGAGGCGAAGGGAAAATGAAGAAGAAGAAGAAGGGAAAGAATAGTGGGAAAATGGTATCGGAGGGGGGCTGGAAAGGGAAGCTGACGGGAGAGGTGCTGCAAGGGTGGCGCAGAGGGATAGAGAGGATGGCACGAAGCTAGTGGAGTGACGGCGTCATCACTGGCATCGGCTAGGGTTTGCAGTGGCACCATAGATCTTCCACCCCCTCTCCATCGCCACCAAAACCCCCTTCCACAAAAGCATGAGAGAGAGAGAGAGAGAGAGAGCGAGCGAGAGATGTGCGATTTACCGGAAGAGAAGATCGCGAAATCTAAGTTGTGGAGGAGTGCTTGCGACGGATGAAGAAGGCGAGAGAGACGCTGGCGGCTGCAGGAGGATGCGGGAGAGAGGTTGACAGCGGCAGGAGATGGGGAAGTCACTGGCGGCGGCGGAAGAAGGAGCTGCTGGTTAGGACTTCGGAGGAGAGAGAAAAGAGAGATAGAGAAGAAGAGGATATTTTGATAATTCTCTTTATGGACAGAATAGTAATTAAAAAAATGGTGTGGGATGAGTAAATTACTGGTGTGTAAATAGAGGCACCCCCTAATGGATTATAAGTTCACAAAATGGGACTTGTATGTAAATGCCCCTAAAATTTATAATCCGTCTTTGAAATTGCTCCGCTCTACTATAGTTAATAATATATTTTTTAATTTATAATAAAATATCAAGGTAAAAATGAGTGTGAAAAATATTTAATATGTGAAATTTATTATAAATTAGTAGTTATATATATGAAAAATATTATGTAAAATTAGTCTGTGTTATATATATGAGAAATATTATGTAAAATTAGTTTGTGTTATATATGAAAAATATTATGTAAATTAGTGTCATATATTATGTAAATGTTTGATAATTGATTAGAATATTCTTCAATCCGCCCAAAACCGCTTAAACTGCAATTTGCCAATTCACTAATCTATCATTCGATTTATAATTTTTCTCTTAAACCGTCCAAATCGCACCACACATACTCCTATTCAAAACAACAACAATATATAAATGTGAAACTGACAAGCATCTATTCGATCCATCAAAATTGAATGATCCAAATCAATCTGGTATAAAAATGTACGGTTTTGGCTTATTTTGGCAATTAGGAAAAAAATCAATTTATTTACTTATTTAGGTTATATTACCTCTCTACTTTTTTATATATTTTTTTTAAAAAGTCCAAAAAAAAAAATTTAAGAGTTGGCTTTTTTCCTTTCCCAAATAGGCCTTTAATGGTCAGAGCAGATAAATACAGATATATTTTTCTAATTTGTTTAAGTTTAGACGGTTGGCAAATGGGACATTACCCAATCCAACTCGATCGGCCAATACCTTTTAAGAAAATGATATTATACTTTTATGTTTTATATATTATGTATTAAAAAAATGACTTTTTATTTAATAGTTATATTTACTATTTATCAATTATGAAAGTTTGGCATTTATTTTTATTATAAAAAATAAAGAATTAAAATTTTTTGGCTCAAATAAGGTCAAAAATTATAAAAATATTATCGAAAAATAGTTTGGAAAAAAAATCCAAAACAATAAAACTCAACCGTCAAGTCGATTCTCATCCATTTGCCAACCCGAATGGTTTACTCAATTCACATTCGCTAACTAAGCGAGATGTGAATTGATTTTTTATAATTTGTCTAAGTTCAGACAAATAGCAGATATGAGATTACCCCGTTCAACTCAATCCACAAGCCCTTAATATAAAACGGTGCATATTATTAGAAAAATAGTACGAAAATTTATATAAAAGATATAACTTAACTATATTAAAATTATTCTTGAAAAACTAAATTAATGATATTTATTTAATCAAAAAATAAACAGAATCATAAATTTATAAAGTATATGGTAGATTCAAAATTAGAAATAAATGTGATAAAATAATCAATTGTTTTAAAAATATATATATTTGTTATTTATTTTTTAAAAGATAAATTCGATAAAATAAAATAAAATATTACAATTATCGAATGGATTTTATTTTTTTTCATGAATCATATACGCAAGAACCCTATAAAATTAATGTTTCAAATTATCAAAACAAGACCTATAATAAGTTATACGAATCTATCTATACATAGCAGTCAAATTTAGATTTTAACATATAAAAGCCAAACCAAAGAGTATCCTCATCAAGCTTTTCAAACTTTATTTTTTAGCTAAAAACTTAAAAAAATCATTTGCATCAAACTCGCGTGCAGCTCATTAAAATTTGCGATCGGTACAGTAACTCGTTACAACAAGTGAGACACTGTTCATCGATATTTGTGTGTTACTGGATGTTTGCCCGGAAGTCCAGCCGAATGTCTGGCCGGTCAATCGGTCAACGAAAATTTTTATTTTTATTTTTATTTTTTTACTTTTTTTAAGAATTGTTTGGCTGGTAACTTATCAATTTAATAAAAAAAGAAAGACTAACAAACACAATAAGAAAATAATATTTAATAAGAATAAGTTAGAATAAAGAGTTTGATGGATTAGGTGTTAAAAGATGAGTAGCTAAAATAATGAAATAGCTTTAATTTAACTAAAAAATTAAAGAGTTTGGTGTGGATGCTCTAAGAAACTATGGTATAAAACCCTCGCTCACATTACTTACAAAAAGCGTGAGTGAAGTGACTTGGGCCTCTTTTGACAACATCTAAAAAGGTCAACTTATTAATTTATTAGCTTATTTGGATTACATCACCTGTCTATTTTTTTGTACACGTCTTTTCATATAAGTAAAAAAAAAAAGCTAGCTTATAATGCTTGTTTCGAGTAATTATCATGTGTTTTGGAAATTTCATACTGATGATGTGTCTAATCAATAACAAGGACCTAAAGAATACATGGCTCAACGAACAAAAAAAATAATAGAGAAATAAGAGGATACCCATAATATAGGGTTATTTTGGGAAGATTGTAAAAGTCATTTTCCAGCTTTTAACCCATTTTGAATCATATCATCTTTCACATTTTGTACACGTTTATTAAAAAAAATCAAAAAAAATCAAAAA